GAGGGTTAGTTGAAAGGTATTTTAATAACCATAAAAAGCTGTCAGGGTACAGAGGGCATTATTAAAAGACAGAGGTCAAGGTGATTTCACTCGTTTAACTCAATGTATCTTATGGAGCGCATGCCAACTTCAATGACTTTGCTATAATGAAATAAATGAGTTGAGATTTTGAGAAAAAAAAAAAAAAAAAACCATAGAAATAGAGCTAGGTCACAGTTGCATCTTATTCAGAATTGGACCGAGAGAAATCGAGCTAGTATAGCAACTAAAATTTGGTTTTGAAAACAGTAAAACAAGTGCCAACAACCAATATGGATTATTTACGAAAAAGGATTTGTTAGGCTACAATGTTTGAAAGAAATGTAAAAAATCGTTCCATTTGTGAGAGAGGCAAGTATTATTTTTTATATTTATGTAATTCGTGACTTCCAAGTTTTGTTTAACTATTTGTCTTAATAATTTTATTGAAATTTTACCGTCAAATTTACTTTTATAAATAAAGTGTTTTATTATAAGAATGAGCCAGTTTACCATTTTATGGTCTTCATCTTTTAAGTCTTCAAAAACTCCGAAGATTATTGCCTCCTTAGTGAAGTTCAGATTTAAGTTTATCAGTTCACGTAGCCAATTTCGAAAGATATTCCAAATTGGAACGACTTGTTGGCATTCAGTAAATAAATGTTTTAAAGATTCTCTTTCTTTTTCGCAGTAGGAGCATAGATCATTATCTCTTATTTTTATCTTTTTCAGGAATGTATTGGTATTTAAGATTCGATGTAAAATTCGGTACTGAAACCATTGTAGTTTTGAGTCTGAACAGCATGTAAATGGCAAGGAATATATTTGGTTCCAATTACTGTTGTCAAGAATGAAACCGTTTTTTAAGTACTTTCTTTGTGCACATGGGGGTTGGGTATAAATCGCAGAATTAAGTATTTCTTTCAGATTTCTTTTACCAGTTAATTTGAAATTTTGGAAGTACAGACGGGGTCATAATTTTCATTTAAATCAAATTTTTTGATAGCCCGTAGGTAGCGATTCATGATTTAAAAAATTGGTTTTCAAATTAAACCTTTGTCCTAGTTCAATGTAATTCATATATTCATTATTTGTATCTTTTAGATCACGAATAAAGAGGATATTTGCAGATATATAATTTGGAAAAGCTATTGGTTTGTTGTCAATTTTTATTTGAGAGTTATACCAGATAGGGGAATTGTTGATTTCAGTTATTGTTTTTGGAAGAGAATTTTTTTGGATTAGTAGCCAGCTTTGTAAAGTATCATGCCAGAAAGAATTTTTGATTTCGAAAAGTTTTTTCTCAATAAAGTTGTCACCAAAATTGATTATTGAGTTGAAGGAACAACCAACCGAAGACTCAAATAATTTTGACCATAGGGCATCTGTATTTAATAGTCTGTCAATCCAGGTTAATTTCATTAATATGTTGAAATTGAATATATTAATCATTTTTAGACCTCCCTTTTCGTAATTTTGAACAACAATTGATCTTTTAATTCTGTCTGGCTTATTATCTCATATAAATTTGAAGAAAAGCTGGTTTACGTATTTAAAATAGTCATTAGGTGGGTCAGGCAGAGAGATCAGAAGATTTGTTATTTTAGGTAAGACAAGAGATTTAATAACCGTAATCTTTCCAATGATTGTCAGTTTGCGCCTTTTCCATGCTGTGAAGACATTTTCCATGTCAAGTAGTTTTTTATAATAATTTTCATCATTTAGATTAGTTGTTGAGAAATGCACCCCAAGCAGCTCAAATTGAGTGCAACCCCACTCCAACTTCCACCTCGAGTGATGGTATACATCTTTAGAATATTTTTTGGATCCTAACCATAAGACTTTTGTTTTTGAGAGATTTATATTAAGGCCAAAAAAAGATTCAAAATAGTCCAAGGTCAGCATGGTTTGTTTCAATGTTTCAGGAGAGCCATCAAGAATGAATGTAGTGTCGTCTGCGTATTGTGAAAGAAGAAATTCCTCATTATTTATAGTAATTCCTTTTATATTCTTATTGCTTTTGATTAAAATAGTTAAAATTTGCACACATATTATAAAAAGGTATGGTGAAATTGGATCACCCTGTCGGCATCCGCGTTCAAGATTTATGCAACTTGAAAGAAAACCGTTTTGTAATATTGTTGATTTAATATCATTTTGAAAAATTTGAACCCATTTTTTAATGGAAGACTGGAAATTGAAGAAATTTAATGCTTGTAGGATAAAATCCCATGAGATCGAATCGAAAGCTTTTTCAAAATCAATAAGTAAAATCATTCCTGGTTTGTTCTTTTCATTTACGTAATTCATTATGTCATAGATTAATCTTATATTTTCACCAATGTATCTCCCTTTTAGGAATCCAGTTTGCTCCTTACTATATACAGATATAATTTTATCCTATTGGCAATACAACCTGATGCAATTTTATATACCGTGTTTAATAAGGTAAGTGGTCTCCAATTTTTGAGGAGGTGTTTAGGTTTATTTTGTTTAGGAATTAATGTAATTAGATCTAGTTTCTGTACCTCAGAGAGTTCACCTTTTTCATAACAAAAATTTATTGCTCTGATGACAAAGTGACCAATGTCCTGCCAAAAAAGTTTAAAGAAATCAGCTGGCAAACCACTTGAGCCGGGGGAGCGCTCATTTTTCATATTTTCAAGTACTCTTTTGGCCTCCGAATAAATTATCTCCCCTTCTAGTGAAAGAGCTTCATAATCTGTCAATTTGCTAAAGTCAATAGTGGACATCTTTTCTGAAAGATTACTATATGGAATTTGTTTTGTTTTTTTTTCCTTAAAGAGTTTCTTATAAAAAGATTCAGTTTCAATCAAAATTTCACTTTGTTTATGAATAATAGAGTTATCATCCTTTTCCAGGCGGCTGATTAATTTATTATAGTAGTTTCTGGACTCCATACTACAGAAGTATTTGGAAGGTTTTTCGCCCTCTTCAATCCAAAGGGCTCTTTATCTTATAAGGTTGCCTTTCAAGTGGAAGTTTCTTATTTCAGTAAGTTCCTTTTCAAGGGGTTCTAGTTTGTCAATCTTTTCTAAACTGGTCAAATTTACATTATTTTCGATATCATTCATTTATTTTATCATTTTTTTTCTTTTTCATTTTGATTTTTCTTTTTGAAGATTGAATAAGAAATGGAAGCGCAAGCTCTTGGATCTGTGGCAAAATTAGGAGTAAATATAAGCGATGCAGTGAAAAAATCTGACGAACTTAAAGAACTGCAGCTAATAAGAGAACTAAGAAATAAGAGACTAGAACGGCAAGCCCTAGAAAAACAAGGAAAAGGGTTAAAAATCATTGGATAAAAATGGCAAGCAAAAATTACAGATTGGATCCAATCTTTCAATTGTATGATCCGATTCAATATTCGTTCAACAAGAAGAAAGAGGATTACGTAATCATCTCACCATCAGTAGGGACAAAGACCCAAATAAACGACGGAGGAAGAGTTACCTTTGAAATTAATTCGTTGTCCAATTGGTTGCTGCTTTCCGATGCCCATTTCCGATGCGATTTCAAAATCAAAGACGCCACTCAGAATCGAGTTCCACAAACCAACACGACTTCTTTCCGTCTTTATTCAGACAAATGGTTTTGGAAGCTGGTTCAAATAGAAACAATTAAACACCCCGGGGAGTTTGACACAATGTTGAAAACGGTTCTATATCCCAAAAACTACGATTCAGTTTCGGGATGGATTCCCGATGTCGGTGACGGAGAAGTTTTAAAAGAACCGGTTAGAACTGTAGCAAATGACGCAGATCTTGCTAGGATAAGGATAGTTGCTAGAAACACACTGGAACGAGCGCTTCAATACAACAATGTTGTCGAGAACAACAGGTGGGGTAATTACGTAAATTGGAAGTTGTATCCTTTATTTGATCCCTTGGAACACAGAAAGGTTTCCATAGGTTTGCCGTATAAAATTCATTTGCAAAGAGAAATCAACGACAACAAGATATTCTTTGGTGAAAACAACTCTGACGCAAAATTGGAAATAACGAATATCCAACTTTACATACCGGTAATCACTCCTTCCGTAGAAGTGGAAACGAGAATATTCAACTCTTAATCCAAAGACATCGAAATTGCTTTTCTTCGTCGTAGCACGGTAGGTAGCATGACTTTAACGGGAGAATCCACCACGTGGCCAATCACCAACACCGTCAAACCAGCGAGATATCTAATGGTCGGTTTCAAAAATTTACCAGACTCTCAGACAAACAACAACAACATTTTCAGAGTGGCATAGAACCATATTCAATGTGCGAATTGTTTGGAAATACTCCTCAGTTTGAATACACCGATTTTTCACTCAATCATCCAATTTTTTGTTTCCATCTGTCAGCTCATCAAGAAGATCTTTTCAAAACAGGGGTAAACATAAATATTCACATTGAAAAAACACAAGGAGATGTAACCGGCTACTGTTTATTGCTGGAAGAAGGAAAACATGGGGCTGCTGGGATAGCCAAAGCTGTCAACGATAAGAAAGCTGAAGCCGCTGCAAACGCCGAAGCACGTAGACACAATTTGGCAATGGAAAGAGAAGCACGAGGAGGTTCGGGAGTAGGGACGGTTAAAGAATTCGGACAAAGATTTGGCGAAGAAACCAAGAAAACCGTTAAAGAGGGATTAAGCAAATTAATAGATAAAATCGACACCGGAGAAATGAAGGTCAAACACAAGGGCGACGCCATATTTTTTAAAAACATACGTTCGGGCGAGGGAATCTTCCTTTCAAAGTATAAAGGCAACGGGGTGATTTTTGGTACGAAAATGTAATAAATAAAAATGGGCAAAAAATTTAATCATTCAGAAATATTTCCTAATAACCCAATGCTCATGTGTATATGCGGTAGTTCCGGTTCTGGGAAAACTCATCTCACTTTTAACATGTTGACAACACCAAACCTTTTAGATTTCGATTCTCTGTATATCTACACAACAACACCAGAGCAATCGTATTATCAATTCCTCAAAGCTTTGGAATATTTACCAAAGAAAGATGTTCAAGACATATTTCAATATTACGAAGAAAACGAAGAAGAGGTGGAAATAAAAGATATCATAGAAAACTTCATTAAATCAAAGAATCCATCTTTAAATCCAACGGATATAAAAGTTTTTCTTACGAAAAATGTTAATGATCTAGACTTGTCTAATATTGATAGCAATCGAAAGAACTTAATATTGTTTGACGACTGCGTAGCGCAAAGAAATCAAACTGTTCAACAAGAATTCTTCACCAAAGGAAGACATCACAACTGTCACTGCATATACCAATCCCAATCTTTTTACGAGATGGATTCTATGTTCATTAGAAAAAATGCAAATTGTTTTTTATTATTTGAATTAAACGATAAAGATTTATCTCAAATCATTCAGTCTATAAATCACGGAATGGATAGAGATACATTTAAAAAGGTTTGTAAAGCTCAATGGAGAAACCCAGATGATCATGGATATGTATTTGTAAATACTAGAAAACCTGCGGGAGAAAGAGTTATGATCGATATATGTTAATTTTATTATTTTAAAAATGACGGATTGGAATAATTTTTTAAAAAGAAATAGAGAATATATCAAAGCTAAGAATAAAATAAAGACCCAAGTTGAAAATAACAGATTACAACAACTCGGATTAACAGAAAATCTACAAACTCTATTTCAACCCATATTAAAATCTCAAGAGGATATTAAAAAGAAATTAGCTTTAGAACCCACGCCTCCTATAGAACCCAAACCGATTGAATATAATGGTATTATAATTAGGACATTAGATGATATAAAACGTCTTTTTTCAAACCCTGACCCAGATTTACCAAAGAGCATTTCACCAATCGTTGAAAATCAAGGTTTATTGTTTAATGGATTTAGAATTATATTTAGTCCAAATTCCCCTTTATTCAAAATCGACACAAAAGACTTTATATTTACATTAACGAAAGGATTAATAGATTTAATGAATGGCGAGGATGTTGAAATTGCCGATTACAAGGATTTAGTTGCATACTCAAAATTTCTACATGCAATAAGAAAGTCAGGACCCGAAACAAGAAGATTGAAAGAAGTTGATTTTTAGATAACAAAAGTTATTGAGGAAGAGGAATCAGATGATTATGCAGAAGATTATCCACCAATCATACAAGAAATAGACGAATTCGATGATATGGTGGCATCTGGACCAGGCATAACGTTTTTATCCGACGACAATAAAGAATTGCTTAATAGATTAGAAATAATATTAGCGGCCATGAAGGAAGGTCATCGATCGGACAGACAATACAACGAAGTCAATGCCATATTAAAACGGCTTTTGGAGAAAGAAATCATCACTAAAAAAGACTATATAAACGTCATTAAAAATGTCCAATAAAGAACAATTGTTCGTTATCACCTCGAATAAACCAGACATCAAATTGTCTCTAGACTACGAGTATGAACTCGATCGCAATAAACAGTACGAGCTGGGATTAAAGTATTTCTCCATTTACAATTCCATTAGAAACATCAACGAAAAAAACAATCAACTAAAAATATCGACGGATAACGGAGTTACGTTCGAAACCATAAGCTTACTACCGGGGAGCTACGAAAACGTAGCCATCAACGATTACCTATCCGAATACGCAGGAAGCGTGAACGGCAAAAACAATATCGAATTCGAAGGTAATTTGAATCTGAACAAAATAAAACTGATCTTGAGAAATAACAGTCAAGTTGATTTCAACGTAGAAAATTCGTTGAATGCGTTACTAGGGTTCGATAAAAGAATATACGCGCAATCGACATTGGCGCCGCACAAGGCCAACATCGAGAACGACATCGACGTGATCAACATTCACTGTAATTTGATCAACGGTGGATTTTTCAACAAGCACAAACGCCAAATCATATACAGCATACCGACTTTTACGGTGCCGATCGGATGCAGTATTATAGAGAAACCGTTTCAAACGACCTATTTACCAGTCAATTCTTTCATGATCAAAGATATAAATCTGGAAATCAAAGACGGTAAAAACGGGTTCATAGACTTTGGCAACGAAGAAATTGTCATTCAACTTCATTTAAAACAATCTTCATTCTCTTCTTGATTAGAAAGATAATCGAAATCATCAAATTCATAGTTTTCGTCAAAACTATACTCATCTTTGTCGTTGTAAGGATACATAATTCCTTCACTGTTTGGTGGTTTTCTTTTAACATTATTCAAATAACTTCTAAAAACTTTAGTTTGTTTATCATTTGGAATAACTACTCCATTGGTGAAACTTTTTTCCCATGGTTTATTAAATTCGTTCGACACATAAATGTCCGCTTGCTAATTGAACGTAATCTTCTACACTTATCTTATCATTAGAATAACCTTTAAACGTTTTCTTTTCTTTTAAGACACCATCAGAAGTCAAAACGATGTTGTATTTGACTTTTGGTGCTAAATATAAACCAAATATAATTCCACCGTCACCGTAATCGTTTTTACCTTTGCAATAGTCTTTTTCGGAGACCAAACCAGCTCTGTTTAGTTTTTTCCACTTTTTGGATGAAATATACAAACTATCGGTGTCGGTATAGTATATTTCGGGTTTATAAAATCCATTTATGACGTCAATGAAATTGTTCATTATTTTTTTACTGTGAGATAAAACGAATGATCCCAAATGACTAGGTGTTAGTCGTGTAGATTTACTATCTTCGGTAGTAATATCTTTTTCTTCAATTTCTGTTTCAACAATATATTCAGTATCATTAATTTTCTCATAGGTTTTAACGCGTGAATCAAAGTTGGCCTGTAAAGTTGCTTCATTCCATAAATGTCTAGTTGTGAATATATCTTTCTGAATTGATTTACCATACAAGGAATTACCTAATAATTTCATGCAATTACCACCCACGATATTACCTTCTTGTTTATATTTATTTCTTAAATCTCTCAAAATTAAAATATAATCTCTATAGGGTGGAGTTTTAAAATTTTCTTCGTAAACTATACCATCTAATTTTCTAATAATTCGTCCACCGGCTTTCACTATTTCTTGAATATCGACCGATGTTAAAACGTCGTGACAGAAACCATTTCTGAACCTGATTTTGTTACCAGTTTCCTTTTTACCTTCTTTATTCGTGAAAGTGATTTTATCTTTAGCTGGTATCGGTTGGAAGAACATGTTTTTGGGATAGTCAAACCACACTGTTAAAATAGCTGTTCTAGGTCTGAATTTTTGTTTATTGAAGAGTTTTACAAATTCTTTTTCTTCTTCTGGTAGAAACGGTCTTCCACTTTCGGCTCTCGGATATTCACTGTCTAAATCCGACATGGCGGAAGCGTATAAACCGTTAGCATCAAATGCCATTAGTTTAGTACATTCTATTTTTTTAAGTCTCGAATGAACTTCCGTTTTGTCTTTTGTGCTTGCGCTGTATTCTTTGAATAAATCAATTATGTTATTACTTTCACTTTGTGAAATATATTCCTTTAATACGTTACAAATTTCATCCATTTTGTTCGTTTCAAATGATTTTCTATTTGCCGAAACTCTTCCTCCTTTAATAGATCGTCTGATAAAATTTCTTATAAAAGGATTTGTGTGCGAATAAATTTTTTCTATATTTTCTTTTTCGGTATGTTTCGCAACCATTCTAGTAGTTCCATACCATTCTTCTTCCACCATTTCTTTATCGTAATGATATAAATAATACCAACCCTTTAAAGATAAAGATGGAGCTGTTAGATTATTGGACATATTCTGGTTTACAACTTCTTTCGTGACTTGGTTGTATTTTATCAAACAAGCTCCCAAACAGAGAGTGTCTCTCTTGGCGTAAGGTTCCCATTCGTGTCTCAATTCCTCCCAGTTGTCTCGCGTGTATTTAGCGATATCTACGTCGGCAATCTTTCTCAAATTCGCGGGAAGATTGGAAGAATTTCCCCATGCAGCCAAACTAGAGGATTCGTGTTGATAGGAACACGTGAAATTAATATGTTGTAAATAATTACCCTTTATTTCTTTCTGTCTTTTCCATTTTTTCTGTAAATCTTCATCCGTGTATGGATTAGATAAAGGAAAAGATAGAATTCCTCTGGGTGTTTTTAAAGGGCAATGCGTTAGTTTTTTTGCATTTTTAAGCACGATCCAGTTGTCGAATCCACTGCCGTTATGAGAAATTAATATTAATCTCTTTCTATCATATTGACCTAAATATTTCAACATTTGATCGATGCAATCTGTACCTACAAATATTTCTACTACATTCATTAGATTATCATAAAATTCTTCTGGAATGGGATCTGATGACTTTAAATCTGGAAAGAGATTATTTATTCTGTTTAACATTTTCCTTAGTTTTTCTAAATTAATTAAAGTGCAGGCATAAGGAATTGCGCTTCGCGTACCTTTTTCTGAATACGTTTCGCAATCCCAAGCGAATAACGCATCATCACTCATACTCGAAAGCACGTTTAGTTTGAGAGGTGAAACCTGTGTTACTGCGTTGTCGTCTCTACACGTTTTCCACACCTGTTCGTAATTGTCTTCTATTTCTTGAATTCCCAAACTTTTTTGGCTTCTTTTAATCAAACAGAAATGCGAGTTGTGTAAGTACAAAACCCAATCTAATTCATCGTGAACGTCTCTGGGGTGAAAATGTCTGTTTTTGGGATTATAAATTTGAAACGAAGTGTTAAATTTCTTGTTGAATTCCTTCATTCTAGCACAAGTCATCACTCCTTTTCTATTTGCTTTTGAAAACCCGTTGATGTATTCTTGAAATTTACACGTTAAATCTTTGTTCAAAACACGATTGACGCATTTGATAAAACAGTGACCATCTGTAGGTATGTAACAATTTTCGCCTTCGAAGAAGATCAGTTCCTCCTCTACCAACTCTCGATCTTTTGATTTCTTGGAAATTGTCTTTCATTGAAATTATTTTTCCTGTAAAATACCAATCGGAAGCATCGGATTTGTTGTCCATATTTGAAAAGATATTGTGAAAAGTTTTGGCATTGAAACCGAGGAGTGACATGTATTGTCTGTGATTCCCTTCCTCGACTATCTCTCCATCTATTTTAATTTGTCCTTTGAATGTTTTAAATTTATCAGAGATAGCCTTGATAACATCGGAAAATAGGGCGTTTACTATCAATGTTTCATCAAGTTCGATTTTATTCATATTTTTTTAAGTGTATATTTTTGATTATTTCTTTATTTTGACCGCTGACATTTCTGTATGGAATTTGTCCAAAATTTCATTGAATTCTTGTAATTCTTCAACTGTTATGTTCTTGTCTTCTCTCGATCTTTCGAAAAAGATGTACAATTGATTAAGATACATATTCAAGATATCCGTTTTCTTCTTATAATGAGCTTTCTTTTTGCTCGTGAAACCTATAGCAATCAAGTCACAAGATGAAGTTTGAATAGCAGTAATTGTGGCTAATACAGTTGGGACAAGTACAGGAACCATTAATCCACCAGTCACGGCCGTTGCAAGTGTTGTTCCTATCGTTAGAACTACACTCGCTGTTTTGAAAACAGAATCGATTCTACTCCATGTTTTCCTGCATGAATTGTACTGTCTCAACTTTATTTTCAACTCTTCTTGTTTGTCTATCATGTATTGTTGTCTGCTTTCGAGTTCCATTTTTTAAGTCGTTAAATTAAGTGAATTTCCGATAAATGGAACCACGGAATATCGTATAGAACGTACTTGTTTGGCCTAGCATTATTATATTTGCGGGTATTAAAAGTAAAAACATTTACGCGTACTAACGACATTTCTTTTTTCGTATGGTCCTCTTTAAGATGATAGGAATATTTTATTTTTTCTTGTTTATCTTGGCTCTAGAAATAAAACCACCACCTTCAAGGATGGAGTCGGAACCCTCGGCAAACCATAAATGTACTATAAACTCTCTTTCTTGTCGACTTTTATGAACATCGATCGAGGTGTATTTTCCACCTAAAACAAAATACAGTTTTACGTATTCAAAGTCTGTTGTTCGTAAAAACTCGTGACTGCTCGATTCTATTGGCCCGGGTACGTATACGGGTATTATAAGTGATGGTGGAATTTTGACAATGTTGGTTAATGGTGGATTTTCCGTCTCCAATATCATATCCAAATCTTTGATTCCAATGATATCCTTATCATTTTCTACTTCCATTTTAAAGGTGTCTACATATTTACCATTTTTCGTTTCAATTTCCTGATCCCTTTTATCAATCAAACGTATATTCTCTTCCAAATTACCATCATTGAATAATGAAATATGTTTGACGCCCTACCGGTTTGTTTGAAGACTACTTTATTGACTTTAACCTTCATGGGAAACTCTATTTGAATCAGACAATTACCTCGAAAAGAAAACTCTTGCGTTTCGCCGATATCGAATACGTTTT